ACCCACCCACATGATGTAGGTTTACCCTGCTATAGGATTGACGGCGGTGTAAACGGCCGGGGGGATATGGTGAAAGGTCGGTGTTTCTCGTTCCTGACTGTAGATAATTTAAGTTAATTATTTTTCATAATTTGTATATAATATTAATAATACTTTAATGCTATCATAATTAGCAATTGTTTCTAGTGTTATGCATGTGACATGATGATGTACAGGAACAGGTATAGATCTTTAAACATAGTTTTTTCATATACATATTCTATTTTACATCATGAAATTTGATAATGAATACTGTACTGCACGTGATAATGAATACTGTACAAGTATGTGCGGTACAAATCCTCCATACAAATGCCTTATTATTTAACCGACAAATGTATAGACGTCTTTATTTTAATCATAGTTAATATTATTTTTTAATATCATTATAATAGTTCTCTGCCGTGCTAAGCGAAAAAAGGATAGCTCCAGTCAACGTGATTTTTCAGGAACGCAAAAAAACATTTTTAACAGTAAATCAAAATACCCTTTTTTCCCAATGTATGAACATAAGTCAAAAGACGGTAACTCCATTATTTTTGATGTAATATACCAAGTTTTTGTTTAGTATTTGGATTTACCCTGTTTTCGCTTATAAAACATCAAATATATTGAACTTGCCGTATATTTTCTTATTTTATATTTCAATTTAAGATGGGTTTTAATAGGAAATATGCTATTTTTACATCAAAAATCGGCGTAAAACCACTAAATTTACCTATAGAAACAAAAAAAATTTTTTTTTTAATTTTGGAGTTATCCTGTTTTTGCTTAGCACGGCAGTTATATTGTAGTGATTGATATTTCAAAGCAGAACGGCACAATTACATTCCCGTCTTTTGACTTACGTATTGAGATTGAAGCATCAACCACGTTCCCCGCTAATACGGCTGTATATGCTCTAATAATTTCATACAATGTATTTACAGATACATCTATTGTCAGAACCGTCCGTATACTTAATCATTTTTTTTTTTACATAAGCATGTAAACATTTATAATTAACTATGTATTTATTATTATAGTTATTATTATTATTATGAAATAAATATATTATATACAAATAACAACAATTTATTTTTCATTTTAGATTATAAGTTTATTATAAGAAACTAGTACAATATATAAAGTTATTGTTTATAAATTATTAATGTAAGTTAATTTTCTGTCGTGATTTGGTTTCTGCCATTGTGAAGTCCATTGACTATAACTATTTTCTCGGGTAAACACTGTTGTATTGAAAAATGCCGGACCATCATTTTCATCAGACATTTCTTCTTTTTCCTAAAACATAATTATAAAATTAATGCTAATAAAGGTTATGGTAATCTATGTTCATTAAACTTGCATTAATTTGAAGAGAACCCTCGGACCATAACTCTTAACCCAACGATCAACTAATACATTGTACGTTAAATTCTTCAGCTCGCTTATGTAGTTACTGTCACCTTTAGGAATAGTATCGCATATTTCTTTGTCGTTCAAACTTCTTATAAATTTAACCATTTCATCATTGTTTGATTGATGAATTTTGGGGCCCGACCATTTACCGTCGGCGTATTGTATGATGCGGTCTATTTGATGGTTTAATAGTAAACGTGTTTTTATTTTTCTTGATATTGTACTATTAATAGTACACTGTAAGTTCATAAGTCTATTAATGTTTTCGTTATTCAATAACACTCGACACCCATCGACCATCCTGGATTCTAATACTAAATGCACGGTATCACGGTACAATACTTTGATTATATTAAAATCGTCATTTTGGTATAATACAATGTTCTCTCCTTTTCCGAAGGTTATTGTAGAAATAATGTTATTTCATCCATCATGCTGTAAATAATATTTAAATAGTCCGCTGACATATTAATATATCGTGAAGGAGTAATAATGCATATCGTTACATTGAAGTCATCATTTGGATTCAGGCCTACTTGCAAAAATTTTCTGTCGCTGAACGCAATAGTGTAACTGCTAGGGTCAATCATCTCGGCTGGCGGTGTTTGTGCGATATAAATGTAGCGCTGTTTTCTTACAGGTTCGGTAGCCATATTATTCATAGAGTTGAGTCTTCTTGTTCTTAGAGCTGATGGTTCTTGATGACACTGTGACTTTATCAACGATTTCGCGCTCATTTATACGGATAAACGCATATTTTCATAGGGGGTTAGTAAATCATAGGACAAATATCCCCGTAAACTAGCTCTTTCGTACACCACATAAGTGATTTCACTTTAATATAATAATAATTAAATTTAAACTCTCGATTTCTAAATATTTGTATACAAATATATGTAATAGATTATGTGTATACATGTTTTATACAAAAACGATTACACATTAATGTATATTAACAAACGCAGTAGTGTAACTGAATAATCAAAAAAAAAAAAAAGAATTTGATAAAATATTATTTCTAACGTATAAATATTTTCTCTATAATTAAAAAATAACTGATTCTTATGAAATAGCATAATATTATAAGTAGATAAGAAATGTATAGCATACCCCTCTGCCTTACATACCCCTATCTAGTATGGGAAAGGGGGTGGGGAATGGAGCAAACCCCTTGTATTCTAATCCGATGCAACCCAACATACACTAGTCCGATGAAACCCAACTCATACTTTGTACATGTGCTGCCATCTGGCGGACGGCGCGTACCCTGAAACCCAATTCACAATTTGTACATATGCTGCCATCTGGAGGACGGCACCCGCCATGAAACCCAACACACGCTATGATTGCGCGAGTATTTCGCCCGACGTGATTCGATCGCATGCCAACGTTATATATATCGTAAAAAAGATCGTAGACTGTTGGAAACACGGTGTAGAGCGACGTTAATAAAGTTGGGCGTAGTCGATTGTTTAACATCTTGGATNTCTTTCCCATTACGATCCATTAATTCGATGAAAAATATGAATTATAAATATTGCTTAAAATTAATAATTAAATAAATCTGACACGTTGTGTCAANCAAAACAATAAAAAAATTGATCTCTTTACAACACTGTTCTATTAACCATTGATTATATGATGATGGTAGTGGGCTGCTCATCTTGAGACGCCTAATGTTGTAGGGACGCCAATTTTTTATATTGCGGAGAGAGAATTGANAAACTCAACTATTATTTTCAATAATACTATATCAGACACAAACAAATCGATTTCTCCATCTGTTAACATTATAGACTCGGGCAAATAAACGAAGAATGGTTCTTTAATTTCATCGTCGGTTGGGCCGTCTGTGAAAATATTTTGATTTATAAAAAAATATATAAANTATTCACACACACACACTCTCTCCATCCACATACAATTATGTGTGTGTGTGTACACTTCTAACGAGATTAATGACCAATTGTAAATACTCTTTATAGCAATGTATAGATTAGGAGGCTATGAAAAAATTTAAAAACATATAAAACTATAGATTTATTTATTTACATACAAGTTATTTAAACACGCCATTTAAATAAATGCGTATCGCAATAGCGGCATTTTAATATCCGCGGAAAATTTAAAATTAGATAATACATACAATTTTCGTTTAAAGTTATATTATCCCTGATCGGTTTAATATTAGAAAAATCAATATCAGTTACAGCTTCATTTACACAACTCCCCATTGTACAAATTGTATAATCATATTCATTATTATTACACGTAGCTAAATTAAAATTAAAAATTAAAACATTTTTTTCCTTGAATAACAAATTATAGACACCTGATAATTTTTCCAATTTAAATAATCTGGCGTCACTTCTAGCTATTTCCAGAGCCATTGGATTTTTCACAACATCTTCATAGGCAACTCCTTCTTCAGACATTGTGAAATCTCTTGATGCGTGTAAAATATCCGCCAATATCGTAAAAGGTGATATATTTTGCGATTTCAAATATTTTACAACGTGTTCCACATCATTGGTGCTTAAAGGAAGATGCATTGTTGATTGAAAACCAATGAGCGCCAAAGAATGAATATTGATTTCAATATCGTTCTAAAAATTAAGAATTATTTTTTACAAACATAACTTTGGATAAAATAGATAAAATATAACTTACTTTAACTTGAATTTTTGAAGTCTTCTTTGAAATTTGAATTTTAACAGACAGACAGAATATTGTGCATTAATTTCCTAATATGATCGTTGCTAAATCTTGTACGTTGTACGTTGTACAATGTACAAATATGTTTTCGATACCGGCCTATTTATATTAATATTTTCAGACACAAACAGTGCGATTAAGCCCAATTTCCCTTTTGTTTGTCAATTCGTCGTGGTAATTAACATATAAAATACACACACATCTTTCCCATAACGATCCATTAATTCGATGAAAAATATGAATTATAAATATTGCTTAAAATTAATAATTAAATAAATCTGACACGTTGTGTCAAACTCAACTATTATTTTCAATAATACTATATCAGACACAAACAAATCGATTTCTCCATCTGTTAACATTATAGACTCGGGCAAATAAACGAAGAATGGTTCTTTAATTTCATCGTCGGTTGGGCCGTCTGTGAAAATATTTTGATTTATAAAAAAATATATATTTTAAACGTAATTACTCGTATTGACGTTCGCGCTGGCGTCCGATAACCGTCATTTGATAGCTGACCCGTTCCGGGTTTCCACTCTAGATATTTCCATAATCGCATATTTGCGATTTACGACGAGTTCTTCGATGGATTTGTGATAGCTCCTCAGCTGGTTTTGCAGTTTCTGTTTCATTGATTCCATCTCGTCGATTGAAATTGTATAATTTACGTAATTTTGTTTATCTTATATAGTCTCCTATGGTGGTAAACAAGGTAATTTACAGAGTGTCGTAAATAAGCGACTGACTCATAAACAACTTTAAAATGTCTTAAATTTGTGTGTGTGTGTGTGTGATTAACTCATAAACAACTTGAGGGTGTTGTTTAACTCATTCATAAAGACAAAGCGCTTTTACGTTAATGATAAATGTACTGCTATATAAAACTGTCGTCTTATAACGGTTTGAATCAATATTCGGCGACCTCTTTTAAAAATGTTTAGCTGTGATAAATGTGATAAAACTTTTTCTGTAAAAAGATATTTAGTAAGGCACCGAGTAAAACACGATAGGATTAGATTTCCGTGTCATGTATGCGGTTCAACATTATCAGATAAAAACTCACTCGTACGTCACATTCAAAAAGTGCATCGTTAGTATAAAAATATTTATTTTTTTAAATTAACTATAGTTGATTAAATAAATTGTATCGTTATATAGATCTCACAAAATACGGAATTGATTATAATATAGCGATCGGAAATCATCCGGATTCGAGAACATTACAGTCGTGTGGTAAGTAAAAAATAATAATAATAACGAATGGGTAAATTCAGTGGTATGTTCGTTGCAGGAAATGAACGGCCGAGTACGAGCGGGACGAAAAGAAATTATAATACGGTTAGTAGTGTACGGATTAAACAGCGGGGATTAGATCAAATTTCATCATCGACTTTTCAATTAATAGGCACCTCGTTAGACAATATCTTTTGGTTTTATAAAAAAAATGTGGAAAAAATTGACGGTTATAAATCATTTTTATTTCAAATAAAAAACGAATTAATAAATAAATTATACGAGTGTTTGGAAAACTTTGGTCCGATCAAATTCAATTTAAAATTGGAAGCCACTTACAATGTACCGAATCAGTGTGACACGAACGAGAATCGATCTTTTAAAACTAGCGCCGTGGAATTATTTGTCTGTAGTGATATCAGTACGATTGTCGATAACGCGTTTGAAAAATTAATCGAAAAAGAGGAGAATTACGCGGGCAAGGGGAGCAATTTTTCGTTTTTATGTATAGACGGGATACTTCTCGGCGTTTACAAATATTCTNGGTGATATCAGTACGATTGTCGATAACGCTTTTGAAAAATTAATCGAAGAAGAGGAGAATTACGCGGGCAAGGGGAGCAATTTTTCGTTTTTATGTATAGACGGGATACTTCTCGGCGTTTACAAATATTCTCCGTTGTCGGCAAACTCTTTTATTGAATTACCGAAAGATATTAAAAATAAGTGCGCTGTTATAAATCCGCAAAATATCGATTCTTTTTGCTTTAAATGGGCGATATTGGCTAAAAAAATGAGAGGAAAAAATAATGCTAATATTGTCGGACATAATTACAAGTCATTAAAACACGATTATAATTTTTCCGGACTAACATTCTCCACGCCTATTGACGAAATAAAAACGTTTGAAAAAAATAACGAAAACACATCGGTTAATGTGTACGGATTGAGTAGTAAAAAACGAAATGGCGATGAGGAGAGAAACGGTATGTCGCATTTAGTTTATCCGTTGAGGGTGGAGGAAAAATCAGATCATTTCGATTTACTACTGGTGTCCAACAGTACTGGTAGTAATCATTACACGTACATAACAGATTTGTGGCGTTTATTACAGAGCTAGATGACTAAAAATACATCTAAAATGGTGTTTTGCAAAAGATGTTTTTTGGGTTTTAATTTCGTTCGTAAAAAATTTAGACTTCCCGGGTTTGAAGCATTAAAAAAACATAAAAAATCTGCGGAGAAAATAAANAATTTCCCTTTTGTTTGTCAATTCGTCGTGGTAATTAACATATAAAATACACACACATCTTTCCCATAACGATCCATTAATTCGATGAAAAATATGAATTATAAATATTGCTTAAAATTAATAATTAAATAAANAAACATAAAAAATCTGCGGAGAAAATAAATCATTTTTACCCATCATGCTGGCGGAGGGGGAACTACATTACAATTTGAAGCATTCGAAAAAATGCAGGAACATCCTTTTTCAATTTACTGCGATTTTGAATCGCTATTAGAACGAGTAGACAAAAAAATGGGTGATAATACCCGCGTTATTCAAGAACATAAACCGATGAGCTATTGTTTTCTAATAAAAGCGGCTGACAGTGTGCCCGTAGAATTATTGAATCGCTTTGATATCAGCACAGAACCTAAAATATACAGAGGAAACAGCGGGTCGAATGATGTTGCCACTCGGTTTGTGAAAGAAGTGTGCGAAGAAGCGCTGAAAATCGAAGTGCTGTTGAAAACAAATGTCAAAATCGTCATGACTGATGAAGAAACGGCGATACGTGCAATGAAAACAAATTGCGATCTATGTAAAATGGAATTCAGCGATAAGAATTACAAAGTGGCCGATCATAATCTCTTGAGCGGTAAATATAGACATACTTTATGCAACAATTGTAATCTTAAATTAAAAACACCGACATTCGTACCGTGTTTTTTTTCACGGGTTAAGCAACTACGACGCTCATTTTCTCGTGCGAGAATTAAGTTTTTCAAAAGAACGAATTTCTCTGATACCGTCTACCGAAGTAAAATATATAAGTTTTTCAAAATATGTTTCCAACACGTTTAGTGTGAGAGGTATTGACACGTACAGATTCATGGGCACTAGTTTGGCCACACTTGCAAACATTTTACGTGCTGCCAGTAAACATCTATTCGAGGAAACGGCGAAAGTATTTTCGGCAAAGGAAATCGATTTGGTCACACGCAAAGGTGTTTACCCGTATTCCTTCACGAGTAATTACGATGTGCTGGAAACTACTGAATTGCCGAGTAAAAAAGACTTTTATAATGAATTGACCAAATCGCATATTAGCGATGAAGATTATGTACATGCGCAAATTGTATGGAAATATTTTAATTGTAAAAATTTGGGGGAATATTCGGATGTGTATTTGAAAACCAATGTCACTATATTGGTGGATGTATTTTCGAATTTCAAAATGCTATGTTTGAAAAAGTATAGTTTGGAACCGGCGTACTATTATACGAGTCCTGGTTTATCTTTCGACGCGATGTTACTACAATTAGAACTCATATCCGACTACGAAAAACAAATTTTTATTTCAAGAGGAATAATGGGAGGTATGACAAATTCTGTACTTAAATACGCTCAAGCAAATAATTTAAAAACGGCTAATTATGACGCCAAAAAGCCCAAGTCCGAAATTATTTATTTAGATGTAAACAATTTGTATGGTTGAAGTATGTCTCAAAATCTTCTGTACGTCGGGTTCAGATGGATAGACGATGACCAAGAAACCGTTTTGAAAAGAGTGCGGGAGATGAACGAAGACTCGGACATTGGGCTTGTAGTGGAAGTAACAGTATCGTATCCGGAAGGAAAGCACTACATGCATAATGAAATGCCTTTTCTACCCGAGAACAGAATACCCCCAAATTCTAAAGCGAAAAAATTACTTTCAACTTTAGAAACTAGAGCATTATGTCGTGCACTATTTGAATTTAAAACAAGCGATGGAAAACGGTCTTAAAGTTGAAAAGGTAATATAAAAAATTGAATATTTTATTTTAAAATTATTTTACTATAATAACTGTTGTTATAATTACAGGTGCCCAAAGTTTAGAATTTAAATAGTTCAGATGGCTTTTCAAGTACATCAAATTAAACACGGAAAATTTGGCAGGCGGCTACTAACGATTTCGAAAAAGATTTTTTCAAATTAATGAATAATTCTGTTTTTGGTAAAAAGCGTACTATTATAAATGTTTATAAATTAATATCGTATTTTATTGTTAAGGTAAGTGTATGGAACGCGAATTGAATTCAGAAAAAAGATGGAACTCGTGTGCGATCCTAAACGTGCCGCAAAATTGATTAAAAAAAACATTTTCAACCATTGTGTCACGTACAAGGAAAATCTTTCAATATTCATTTTGGACATTCTGTATACTGGACATTTCAAAAACTTTGGTGTACGATTTCCATTATAATTATACGAAAAAACATTTTAAAGATCGTATTATGCTGATGTGCAGCGATACGGGTAATAAATGACGATAATTAAAAGTAAATTTATTATATATTAATTTATAATTTAGATTCTCAATCGTACTATGTGTTGACCGAAAATTTTTATGCGGAGATCAAAGACCTCCCCGAGTTGATGGAGCGCTTTGACACATCGTCATTACCAAAAGATCATTTCTGCTTATCGGACGCCCGCAAAAAAGTACCGGGTCTTTGGTCGGACGAGTGTGGTGGCAAGGCAATACTGGAGTTTGTGAGTCTGAGAATGAAAGCGTATGGTTTCGATGTTGAGGGGTCTGAAAAAATCAAAGCCAAGGGGATAAGAAGGCCTACTGTGAAATATCATTTGACAGTAGAAGACTTTAAACATTGTCTGTTCGCGGATGATGAGGGATATACTGAAAACGGGATTATCGAAGCCAAAGAAGCGGCTGTTTTGTGCGGTGTAGAGGTGAACAAAAATATTCATGAGAGGCCTGATAATCCGTTATAAATATCTGGGTCTGTCGATATTGGAGTTGGTTTTCACCATCCAACTCTTTTTCTCTACATTCAGCAACTCGGGATACACATACAGGTCCCAATTTCTAAATGTGCAATAAATATTTTTACGAGTTTCGACAATTTTCAGCAATTTTAATTTTTCACAGTCGTTAACACGCGCCACGGCCAATTTCAAAACTACTTTTGTTACTTGATACTGGATTTTAATAGTTCTTTAGCTTCTTCAATCGCCCATGTAACCCCTTCCGTAAGCTTCGCTTTTAACGCGACTCAATCGTTTAACGCTCTATTCATTACGAGTTGATGATTAACTTGAATTAATATCTTACGATAATCTTTACAAAATCTAAAAATATGCGATAAAGGTATGCAACCCGAAAAGTTAAAATTTGTTTGTGAATAATCATTAGACGATGTGTTGGGGTCCCAGTAGGCATTTTGGAGATTATTAACATCGTTCAGCGAATAGGAACAATACCCCTTTAGCAAACTGGTTATTCCGGTTATTACTTTTTGAATCTCTATTCCGTTCATTTCATAAGATATGGAATCTAAAAGGAAAGCTAAACCATTGTTTGCAAAGGCTATTTCACTGGACGACGAGTCGTTATTCTGTACGGCTTTCCGTATCTGATCGGCATTCGAGAGTGCGTTGGTGGAAAACGGCAAATACGAACGGTATTGTAAATCTTCTATCGGCGTTTCATCGTTATATTTTTCCAATACGTTTAATTAAGAGCTATCCATTTTTTTATAATACACGTAGTGATTTCAGGAAAAGTAAATTTTTTTGCTCAATTTTATTATTTTTTTATTTTTACGTTTTAATAAACCGTTTCGCCGTCCCAAAATGAAGGTGTGGAGTTTCCTATTAACGTCATAGGCAATCGTCGTGCCAAATTTTTTCCCCTTATAATATTCGGTAAATTTTAAACCCATTAATTAACACGTTTCAAATGTAGTCGTATTGATAACTGCTCTCCTCTTAAATCGATTAATTTTCTATCTTGATCTCGCAATGTTACACGTATCTGATTTATAAATGCGGTGTTTAAAGGATAATAAACAGGTTTTGCAATAACTTCGTATCGATGAAATCCCGGTGGAACGTTCATGTAAATTCATGTAAGGCGTGACTCGATAAACCGTTATCAAATGAACTGGAGACCAGATTACAATGAACTTTTATACAATTAACATTCAATATATTTACCGGATATTCCGACTCGTGTTTAACATCGGCCGGATATTTTTTCTTACCGAATCCTAGCAATCGGGCGATGCTATCGGGCATTGTTAAATCGATATCTCTATTACACCGCATTTCACATTTTAAGGTAATTACGTTAGTCGTTAGTTCGAGTGTGATACCAAGCGCCGTCATTACATTTGTCAGGTAATCGTCTATATGTTGCAGCATATACGACCCCGTCGAAATATTTCGCCGTCGCGAAATACGCGCGATCTTATTGTGTGTGTGTGTAGGGTTTCATGGCGGCTGTCGTCCGCCAGATGGCACCGCATGTGCAAATTGTGTGCGAGTTGGGTTTCATCGGACTAGTGTACGTTGGGTTGCATCGGGTTATATTACAAGGGGTTAGCTCCATTCCCCCCTTCCAGTAGTAGTTCTGGTTCTAAATAACTTAATGATTATTAATTAAAAAAATATTTCAATTGAATTCACTGATGTAACTAAGTGGGAATATAGAGTTTTTACCCACTAAAGTTGTTTAAATTGCTCTATACATTTTTTAAGGTAAATAAATTTATAATAAAATATTTTTTTTATTTTTTAAGGTGAAGTAAAAATAATTTTATCGTAGTTGTACCAACGGTTAAATTTAACAATAAATATTTTACCTATAATAAAGTTATCTATCGAAGAATTATTCAGATTAATATTTTAATTATTTTTTTCTATTAAGCCGCTTGTCTTCGGCGAACGCAAGTTATTATAAAATTTTGCGTATAATTTACCTCGAAGAGTGCTATTTTTTACACTTCGCATAAAATATATATCATATATATATATAATATTTCATATGGCTGTAAAATAAATTATTATTTAACAATAATACATAATTGAATAGTAAATGGGTAGTAGTAGTTATACATAAAGTACACTAGTGTAGTAAATAATTTTAAATAACCCGCTTTAATATTTTAACCTTCTTTCATAATTCTTAGCATATATGTCCAACACATTAATCAAGGTTTTAGTAGCGTTATATAAAATTTACATTAATGGTACAAACAGCTCATGACAACGGTTTTAAAACAAATATTATGATAACACTATTTATTTAAACCACCACAAAATCTATCTAATTCGTCGTGGTTTAATACTGAGTATTGATTGTATTTTATGTTTGTAAAAATTAAATAGTTCATATTTAAATATAAATATTTACTCTCAATAATTTAAAATGTACGTTAAGTTTCATTTTCAAAGTGTTGTGCACACTTGAAAAATGTTCACAAAGTTTTTTTGGTAAATTTGATGTCCCTGAATTTAGCACCCGAAATTAACTGATAAGTAACCATTGATAAGAATTTAGTAACCATATTGGTTAATTATGAACATTAGGTTGCAGCATAAGCTATTATCAAGGGGTTTTCTATTTAATAATTTTGAATTAAAAGTAATTGATAGAAATCACTATATCACTCTATGCTTTATTTTATATTTGGTCAGACTTCAACGTTTATAAACAAAATGTATTTTTGAAATATTACATCTTTCAATGATATAAGATTTAGTCACCAACAACGTGGGCAAATGACCCTAATAGGTAATTGGAAGTAGAATTATTTTTAATTTTTTGCAATTCTTATATTATATACACTCATTTTTACAATGTTATAGATAAGACGGAATAAAATATAAAATTATTACAAAGGAAAAATATAAAAATTATTTTGACATTTTATATAACGTTAATATTGTTGATTTTACTTAACATTAGGATTGACACTTTGTATTTAATAATAACACCAGAGTAAAAAATAATGACTATTATAATAATAGAATTTTTCATGGTGAAGAGTGATTTTTAAATGACATATAATTTATTTATCTCTGAAACGTGTGTAATATAATATAATTAAACAGTAAGCGTATGTTAAATATTTCTCTAAGTTATTTATTTAAATTTTTTTGTTGAAAAGAATAATGTTATATAAACCAAATAAATATGATAATATAATTAATAATCTAATTAAAAGTGTTGATTATTTTAAACAAAAAGATTAAATAAATGATAGTGTTATTAATTTAAAAAAAATATAATAAAAAAATATAAAAATTTCATAATAAAAAAAATTGTGTTTTATAAAATAAAAAAATATGTTTATGTTTAAAAGTTGCATACGGTGGCTAAATGCCCTCTCGCAGACATGTGTAGCATCCTACAACAAAAATATTAGTCAAAACACTTTAATATAATTGTATAATAAATTATAATTTTTATGATTTTATATATTCCAACAAGTATTGTAATCTTTGAAAAAAATGGTATAATAATAGATACATTTGGATGTTTCTTATTATGGTCATTTTTAAAATACTTTGCTTCTGATTTTTTATTTTGTCTTTGAGATAAATAAAAATTATTCCAAAAATTTTGAGGCCCTATCTTGATTTTTACTGTGCTGGTAAAAGATTAAAGTATTCGCATTTTAATAAAATGGGATTTTTTTTTTAAAATAGTCTTGAAAGCTGACAAAAAAATCTCGAAAATATGAAACATATGTTAATTGATCGGAAATTTTTTTATTTTCAATTAACCACATATATTATATGTTTATATTAAAGAAGTTATTAATTTATTTATTCAATACAATATAATATCATGTATTAGCATCGATGCGAAGAAGAGAAGGTATATATTGTACTATGATATGTTTTTTTGTAAAGAGTTAAAATAGAAGTTTCGAGAATATTTGAGAAACTTCTAGAATAATTTTTCCACATAAATAATTATCAATTTTAAATACTTTTCTGACCGACTGTTATATTATTACTTTTTACAAATATATCGCTCATTCAGAGCGATGTTTACATTAATGTCAAATTTTTTAATTACCACAAGCGTATTTGTGACGCCAAACAGAAGGCAGAATAAAATATTTAAATTCTTAAGAAAAACTAGCCGCCCTTCATCACTATACCAACTAGTTTAATATAAAAGGCTAGGAAAATTAGCACACCAGTAAATGCTAGTTCACTCTCACTCTTTATTCTCCCACACTCTTACTATTTCATTATAAAGTTAATAATGTAAAATTCATGTCACTTTTATCAACCTTAATTATTAGTCTTACACATTTGTTAAAATAATGAATTCAAATCATCGAAATAAACTCAGTATATTGCCCCTCATACCAGTATTTTTATTTATTTAAATGAACTTAAAATGTCGACGTCAACAAGGAATATCACAATTCATCATCTATCTACGAGTTCGGATGAATATCAAGGTAAGTGTAGTTGTAAGACATGCACTATATTTATGTAATATTAAGAAATAGGATAGAGTGGATGAGAGGTAGGATTAAGTTGATATGAATGAATCCAATACAAACCATATAACCTAAACCACTTCCACTTTCCTCTCATACTCTCTCGCTTTTCTTTGTATTACAATTTATTTGTGTCTCTCAAGTTTTTAAACTACTTTTGATTCGTCGAAAGATCACAAATCGTATCTAGTTGAAGATATTATCCTTTATAATTGAAAAAATTCCCTAGTTTCCTGTAAATGGGTAAATTTGCTCAAAAATAAAAATTGTTTAACTTAATTATCAAAACGATATATTCCAAAATTGATTACTAATAACCAGGGTTCGGGACTTATAGCACTTAAAATCATCAAAAAAAGTACTCAAATAAGCATTTATAAATAAAAAAATTAATCAAAATATCTCCAAAAATGGATTTTTTGAAAAATTAAATATAAATTTGTGTTGATATCCCAGTATGCCATAGCGGTCTAAAAATATTGTTTACCGAGAAATCCATTATAAAAAGGAAATCAACCAAGTACCACACTAGTATGACACTTCAACCATAGCTAAAGAAGTTAACGATGCCGAGGACGGAGTTGGCTATCAAATAGATAAGATAACAAAGACAAAACCCTATTAACAAGGAAGCAATTGAATTATTTTCCTTATTAGATCTATCAAAAACCAATAAAAAAAACCTGGTTAGGCTGCGTCATAAAGAAAATATTTTAATGTACAAAAACAGAAAAAACAAGAAACAAGCATTTGTTTTTTATTAAATCATCGAAAAAAGCAGAAAAAACTGAAAATAAGCGTTTTTTGAAAAAACCGTCAAAAATATCAAAAACAAGCATTTTTTAGCAAATGCTATAAGTCCCGAGCCCTGCTAATAACATAAATGATTTTATTTAAATAATTATTTAAAATGCACTAATTGGAATATTTCTTTTTGAGTACCATCCAAGACTGTAAATTCAAATAGTAACTTAGATTTATGGTACTTACGTTTTGGTTTTTTACAATCGCGAGCAATATGGCCCATCATTCGACACCGGTAGCATTTTACTGTCATAAGAGACATATATTAATAATAAAACTTAATGATATATTTGGTTAGACTTACATTTTGGGGGGTTTACTATTCCAAAATTTGCGGATTTTGTGTGGATGTGTATATGTACAATATTCTGTTAACAGATATAACGATTAGTGAAAGACTATTTCTTATTTCTTTTAATTTAAATTTCACTCCCCATACAATTTAGAAATTAAAAGTAATAATATTTTTACATTCATTTTTGAGAGTTTGAAACTAAACAAGCTTTCAAAAATTATTTTTCCAACCCATACATAATAAACTAACCAAAAAAAAAAAAATTTTTTTTGATTTTCCAAAAATCAATAGCACACCAAAAAAAGGTAGCCGTCCAAATTTGAGGTTTTTTGATCAACCTTAAAAAGTCACTGAGAGGCGCATTTCAATATTCACATTTTGATAACATGGTAAAATGGGATTTTGGTATAAAATCGTAAATTTTTCAAAGAATATATTTTTTTAATTACTTTTGTAAATTCTAAAAGTTAATACTTTTTACAACAAATATACATAAAACATTTAATTTTATCTATTTCTTTTTTTGGTCAGTCTAATACATACATATAGTAATTAAATATACTTACTCCATTTTCTATTATTTTAGGTGTACTACTATTGTTATATGGATTGTACCTTTTATTATTATTTTTTTTTAAAATTATTTTTGTCTCATTTTTTTCCTGTATGTTTTTTTCTTGTATGTTTTTTTCCTGTATGTTTTTTTCATTATTTTCTATTTGTTCCAAATTTTTTGCCTCGGGGATGATTTCCATGTTTTCTAAATTTAGAATTGTTTCCATTTAAATAACCTAAAATAATATTTACAAATATATACATTTAACCCGTCGTTGGTACACATATATTTCGTAACATAATTGTTACACTGTGAGCGTGACGCTCACACTTCACTTTATATATTATTATTAATTGATCGATTAACTTAAAAAATTACACCGTACCTAGAATTATGTCACTATCAGACTCATTTTCACGTAATTCGGCGGGATCTACATAACTAGGATCAGCATCGGTATCGTCTAAGTCATCTAAAAAAACTTCTTCGGTCTCTTCTAACCACGAAATAACTTTATTGGGCATGATAAATTAAAAAATAGTAAAAACACGTGTACGTAATCGACTGTGACGGTGTTGATAAAAATATTGCGCGGTTAGTACAGTGTTAGCGCGACGCTCACTAAATCGGTACAGTCGACTTTGTCTATCGATAACTGATAGGAAATGACAAATAGCGCAATAATTTATTTTTAAAAATATTTATAGACATGTTATTTGAAGGTATTTATAGTATCAGATTAATTCAATAATATTTGTACGAATAACGCTCGAAATGCTATCTGTGTGAGCGGCGCGCTCACATGTGTACCAACGACGGGTTAAATGTTTAAAATAACACTGCCCTCTAAAACAAAAATTGTTAGTTGCAAGGGCGTGAGAAGTTAAAAAACGAGTTTTGCAGAGTTTTCTGTATCTTAAAAACAAAGAATTGACTTGATGAAAAATTGTAAAGATATCTTTTCTAAGAAAATCGATATAATATCTACAATATTAAGTTATTACAATAATTTCAGAAAAATGAAAACTGAAGCTTAAAAATATAAAAAACTACAATTTTAATAAATTTTCATTAAACTTTGAGCTTTTTGCGCGCCTTGTTAACATAGTTGTATAAATTTTAATTTTTTAAATAAATTATCTTTAGACGTATAAGAACAAATTTTCTTGCTGCTCTCCTCAAGTTTCGAACAAAAATTTTTCTTTATACATAAACAACTTTCTAATATCTAATATCTATACTGTAAAATCAATACGATATTCTGTTTAAAATACTGCTACTGTTTAACACTGCTATACAATCACTGAAGATGACAACTATAAGAATTGCATGTCCACCAACTGGTTGTAGTTCAGGTAATAAAAGTAATAATTTTTAGCCGTTCCACAGCTTATCTTGAAATTGTTTGATTAAAGTACGCTGCGTAATTTTAGATCTGTGATTATTAACGAAGATAAATGACTTTTAATTCCCCTTAAAAAGAAAAGAGTATAATGATGTTATTTTTAAATCGATAAAAAAATTATTGCGATATAATACTAATAGAATTGTTAAAACAATATCGTTTAACATAACATTTATTAGTAAGCAAAATTTAATTAATCAGTGGATATAAATAATAAAAAGGTGTCTAAATCATATATTAAAATTCTATAGATGAATTTAGATCTAAAAAAACCCAGCACAGTGGTGACATAGCATAGTGGGATTAAGTATAATGATATCTGACAGTGATTAAAATTACTATCTTAAAAAACGCATCGATGTAAATCTTTAGATAGAGTTTAATTTTAGGAAGTTGGTGGATTAAACTATAAACAATGTGATTTTGTATTTCCTTTATTATTCCTGATTAGTAGTTTTTTGATTTAGAACATGAATAAATATTTATCATAGCAATTAAATATAATATGGGATTGATGTTTAATAATTTAGTATTGTAATTTTTTCGGAGAATTAATAAAAAATTATAAAGTAGTTATAACTTTTATGCAAACGTGTATAAAAATTGAAGGGATTGACACAAAACTTTTTAGATAATAACTTGTTGTTACTTATAAATAAATGGCCTGCAAAAAATTTTCATCAGAGTGAAAAATATAATTTTATTATTTAATGTTTCGTGCTAATTTCAAATCAGCAATTAAATTTTTATATCGTCAATAATTTTTGATATTATTACTAATTGGTTACAACTTAAGGATATAACTTAAAAGAACCTATTAAATGCATAAAGTCAAATATCACCTTTATAATTTTTGTCGCAAATAAAAAATTTGATAAGGATGTAATAAATGTTGACTGTGTGCAAGGCTATACTCAAGGGGTCTAGCTCCCCCCCTAAAATATGTCTGAGTAAGGCCCTGAATATGAGCATTTTGTGTAAATAAGGAACAAAAAATTACTGAAACAAAAATTTTTTTAATTTTCAGTATTGTTGTACTTTGAAGTAATTGTAATATTACTTCAAAGTACAACATATATTTTTTAACGATAAATATGATCAATTTAATTCTTACCTATAACAATTGTATAATTATTTATTTATATTGTTGCATATTATTTATGTTTAAGACGCATTCAGCAAATTGTTTGTAACCTTTTCTTTATAATTAAATAAAAAATTATTGTTTGTAATATTATGGTGAATAGGGTATTCTACGCCGGTTTCTAGCCACTTGGAAGAGAACCAATAGGAAGAGTCAAAGTAGATACTATAATGTAACGTTCACTGTGAGTACTGATCACTTATTTTGTGATCATGTCTCCTTTTATATTTTAAGATACATAAGCAATAACAAATTAATTTTCCTTAGCATAAAAAAAAATTAATAAATCTAATTCTCTTGGCATAAAAAAAAATTTAAATAATTAAAAAATAATGTTTAATTTCATAGTTAAAACTGTTGACCTTGTTTGGACTTCTTGATTTTTTATCCATATTGAATTTAAAAGAATGTTACGATAATCGAGGAATTCGTCAAAGGAATAATTAAAAACGAAAACTAAAATTATAACTGATAAAAAGGAAACATGATTACTGTCAGTAATATATGTTTGTTATATCAGTAATTTACTGATATAACAAACATATGATGCATAGTTATACTAACATGAAAACTATAAATTCAATGATACCTAAAGATACCCGTAGGCTATAAGTTAATCTAAGAAATATATTGGAATAACTTGCAGGTTTATCGGCCAGTTTACTTGACTGGTGGGTTAACGTAACCACTGGATTAAAAAAATTAACCCTTCATTCGGTAAGAAGGACCCTAAGTATGTGAGTGAGTACAGTAGCAAGCGCTAAAGACTTCATCTCCTAGACATGCAGCTGCGCGACTATTGGTAGGTGGCGCACGCGCAAAGCTATTGCAGCGCTCATGTACTTTCGTGTACTACTGTGCCGACTGTTTACTACTGTCGCGCGCAGTAAGTTGTGACGCCGCGCGCCGGCCTGCTGATCAATATAACCGGGGAGGGGGCATTTCGCATCATTAGACTAAACACCAGCAGACCGCCCTACCCCTCAATCGGTTTCTCGCCACTCTTCAAACCACCACAGTGCGCTGTATCCACGTTGGCAGGGTGACGTGCCACGGGGGTTAAGTATTCCCTTCTACCGCTGTATAGCGTGGCGGCGACATCAGCTACGGTACTAGCGGCGTTAGTTTCGAAACGGCAATGTGCCGTTGCGCGTCTGATCGGCGCCATCGATGACGTNCAGGGTGACGTGCCACGGGGGTTAAGTATTCCCTTCTACCGCTGTATAGCGTGGCAGCGACATCAGCTACGGTACTAGCGGCGTTAGTTTCGAAACGGCAATGTGCCGTTGCGCGTCTGATCGGCGCCATCGATGACGTGCTCTTGTGAGTGTAGACCGGGCGAATTTTGATCCGACTCGCCGGTTTTTGCGTATAGTGTAGTGGTAGTGCTGTTCAATAATTTTCGTTGTGCGTTTTTTTTGTGTGTGTGTTTCTTTTTTATGTCGCTGTGGCATTTACAATTGTTATCGTTTTTTTAAATACGGTGATCGTCTCAATCGAGATGTCGGTATGAAGGGAACGACTATTGTTAGGAAATAAATAGTCGGGTGTCATGTGGCCTCGTGGACCGGGGCCACCGTGGATGCTGATCGCGTTAACGGTGACTGTGTTAATCGCCGTCTTCTTAACGCGACCGGTCTACGCGGAAAAAAACAAGTTCTGTAAGTAATCCCCCTAGTATTTTGCCTAAGAAAAAAGTCTCATCATTAATGTTATTATCGAATGAAATCTGGACGAGTATATAAAAAATATAAATGTAACGATAACCTTTGAGAATTTGTTACTACCGTTGGCGTAATGTTTTTCTTATTAATATCCAAAATCATAATAATTTTAAATTTGTTTTAATCAATATTGCTTACTTCAGTCAATGTTTTCATATGAAATACCGTTTGGCTACCCTTAATCGGTAGAAACTACCACGTGTGCAATAATTTCTACATTATGTATCTTGTTATTTTGTGTCGCAGTTAGTCTTATGTTTGTACTAATTATTGAAGCGTTGTAAGAAACAAATATAAATAAATAAATAGCATGTTTTAATGACTATATGGAAATGAAATATGTTTTGTTTTTTAAATTTTCGAGGTTTTTATTTTAAGTATCAATCTTAATTAACCGTGTAAAATAATCTGGATAGGATAAAGTGTGCAAAATTAAGGCTATTCAAGAGTAAGACTTCGAAGCTGTAACCCATTTTATTAATCTTTAAAGGTTTCAAACATATGAGTATTTATTTTACATTGGATTTAATGTATAGTTAGTGTTCAGTTAATAGTTTTACAGTAATATTGCATATTATAGTGAATTGTGTGAAAGTATCTATGTTTGTACATATAATGTGGTAGTGTATAATTGTTGTGACATAGTAAAAAACGTTTTTGCTCATGTGTCGTATATTCTAATTTTATTTAGCTAATGAATTGTATATAGAGACACTTGCTCACAGAAAGGGATCGCCTAGTAGGAATCATTTTCTGTATTGGACGTCTTGTGTCTCGTAACCTTGAAGTAAATGCGTTCATGTATTTTTCGGTCAGTCATTTATTATAAAATGTAATAAGTACCTTAGTGTTTGTATCAGTTAGATTTAAGTAATTACACGTATTAGTAGAAGTGAAATAACAGTATCTTTTCTACTAAACAAATTGTGTTTAATGTTTATTTACATCCTAAACGGTGTTAACTATCCACGATAACAATTTTTTTGATTTCAACATGTTGTAACTCAAAAAATATCAATAAAGAATATTAAAAAAAAATATTAAAAAAAAAAGGTCAGAATAATAATATTTGTTGTGATTAAAAAAATGTGAGTGAGAGTTACTTTTGATTCGGGATGTAATTCGAGGGTCATAAGATAAAAATGTAAAAAAAACTTACCTGGTAAATTCTCTGGTTGTTATAATTATCCTTAGTGATGATATCGGTGAAAATGATAAATAAATACACAAGTTCAGATTTTTAGTTCACAAATTAACACATAAAATTTCGACAATGACAATCACGACGTTCGCACAACTTAATACGGACCACGAAAAGAACAGCCCAATACAGAGCACGGAATGAACAGCCAGGAGCAAGGGTTTGCTCTGGTTTTTTATAATATTTTTTTACCCCCAAAAATCGTCACTGTCGAATTCTTAGTGTGATTGTTTATTGATAAATAAGCATGAAACACAGAGATCAATACAGATGAATAGAACATAGATTATTTTGACATTTACATATATGACATTAACATGTTTTGTTACAAGTAAGACGAAAATTAATACAATGTATTTAACTATTAATAGGAGAATAACAAAGATGACAAAAATAATATATAGATTTTCTTTTGGCGAGGAAGGATTTTAAAAGTAATTATTAATTGATTTATGACCGAACTGCATACACTACAATGTAGTTAAACAGTGTGAGTTTTTTGACTATTTCTCTTAAATGTTTATCTAAGTTTTTGATCGAAAAGGATCATGTCCTTGTAAAAATATAATGTATAATGAAACAAGTTAAAATGTACCATTTCTATGGATAGAAGTAGTGACTATTTGAAATGAAAAAAGAATATACTACTAAATACTAAAAAGATAGCATTGTTGAGTACATGAACAGGGTATTTTAGTGTTGTCTCGTATAAATAATAGTGACGATTATATTATGACAAACATGAATTCAAATATTTTATTTTAAAATTATAACTTCGTCATAATATAATTACCATATCATGTCGTATTGCGATATTTTATTTAAATATAATTTTTTGTTTTCAGTTAACTTTTTATTCGAACTAATTATAATATTTTAAATTATATTTAAGAATAAATATAATGTAATATAATAATACAATATGAAAAATAGTTAATTTAAATACTTAATACTTATAGTTACATTAAATTTTTTTAATAAAATGGAGTTAACAATTAATAATTCGTTTGTAGAATAATATTTGTCAAAGTTTCCAACTATAAATAAAAACTCAATTGTACCTAATTTTTTATCACTGCAACGTGCAATACTTTTAGTATTAAAAAGAGGATTGCCTACTGTTGTAATTTAAAAGTGTATTGAAATTAAAAGAACATATGAGATAAATAATGAGATCAGTATATATGTAGTTGTTTGAACAGATATTAGAATAGTTGAGACTCTTATGATTTTAAGGTTAATTCCTTTTTTTTTTTTGAGTTACTTTTTATATTGGTGTCAGTGTTTTAAGGATTTTTTTTTTACTAACACAATCGAAAAGTTATATTACCACATACAGTTTTTGTAATCATTGTTTGTAACAATGAGAACAATAGAAACCCGTTTCCTGACTTACTGAACACCCTGTATATGTATAAGTTTTAATTTACCAAGAATCTAGAGCAATCGCCAACCGTAAAATAACAGCTCAAACGAAATTTGCTCTATATAGATTCAGTTTTACCAAAAGTACTTATTCTAAATTTACTCTTTATGTTAAGATTTACCTTAGAGTAATTCTTCTTGAAATAAAATGTATTCTTTTTTTCTTTTAGAATATATCTCTAGTGTTTTTTAATACCACGTTAACCCGTATTTTTATTCCTTTTTAAATTTAATTATGGGATCAACATTATTAATGTTTCCAGATATTTTTATTGACATATTGTTTAATTGTGATCAGATATTTTGTGATATTTTTTTTTAATACACAATAATATAAGTAATTAGATGATTAAATAAGTTTTGTCAAGTTAATACTACTATTACAATATTACATACTTGTGATGAGTTGTTAATATTTGACAGAACGAAGAAAAGAGAAGGGGAAATGAAAATAGGTACATTCGTATTCAGAATATAAATGTAATGAAATATATATTAAATTTTCTGTAAATGTAAAGGAGAGAGGTAAATTATATTTTAAATGACAATAGTTTTCAATAAAAAAAATACAATTTGGAAATAAATCTTATCTGATTAACAATGATGAAGTGGGTATAATGAGTCAAGAAGAGAAGCCGAGATAGATTGGAGTGGATTTTTTTAAAAAAAAATTTAAAACGTTCCATAAGACCAATGTAAATTTGACATTTTTGGTGTTTTAAACAAGCAGTGTTTAAAACGTAACAACTCTGGATGTATCGTTTTAAATGATGAGGTGAAATTAACGTTTGGCGGTGTATACTTAATGAGATGAAAAACCATAGGGCGACTTTTAATCAAGCGAATGGTATTTAGAAATTACAAATGGCGGTTACAAGAAAATATGTACTTAGATCGATCGTCTGTCGATTAGAGGCGCGAAACGTGTAAAACCATAGTAGTTAAGGCGAGACGGAAGGCCGTCGGGAAAGGGACAACAGAGACAGTGCAGACACGATCGAACCGGTCACATGTAAACGTTATGGGACGGGACGGGGTTTTGCAGACTGTATCAACAATCACATTTTTTATCGTGTTTGATGGTGTCCAACTTGTATCCCATTTGTAAATTGAAGAAACGATTAGAGTAAACTTTCGTTTTGCTTGTTCACGTTACATAATCTGCAAATTTAATATTGATCTGTTAAGACTCAACTTTTCACAATGGATTTTTTTAAAACTGTCAGGGACGGTATGCAACACATTGGAAAATAGCATCTTATTTACAACAATTTCATTGAATATTTTTTTTAAGATTAACACGGCCGTTGGGGATTGACGGCTTGTTATAAAAAGTGTACCGGAAATCGTGTGAAAAAAAGAGGCACGGTACAGGATTAGAACCGCCGACCCAAGACGTCGTAGAGCCAAACATTGTGGTGAAACAGGGTGTTCTACGCCCGTTTGCAGCCACTTGGATAAGTATCGACAGTAAGAATCAAAGTTAATAATACAATATAACATTCACTAGTGAGTGCTGATCGCTTATACAGTGATAATTACAAATTAGTGTCAATAATACAAGGTTGTATAATAACAGAACACCATTAATATAATTATAACATCTTAATAAACTGAAAGGTACTTAACTATTAACACATATAAAAAAAATGCCGTTTACGACAACCTTACCACTAGTCACCGTTGTCAAAATTTATATTTGACTTCCTTTCTTATACTGTAAAAGTATGTAATAATTATATGAACAACTATATGGAATCAAACTCAAACAGATACGCACGAAAACATGATGACTGTTCAGTAGTTATGTATAGCAATTGTAAATATTATGTTCATTTTTAAGTTGTCATCTAAGCAGATTTTAAGCAAGTCAATGAGTTTTTTATTTTGAAACAATTTATACATCTATGTACAATTTTCTACAAATTTAAATACTTCGGAGAAAGTGTCAAGTGGATTTCGGCTGTCATTGTCATAGTCATCATTGTCGACGATCATAGTACGCCTACGATGTTTTATTGCACTTTGTTTAAAACATTAATAGCGTTATTTTAATGTATGAAAATCTACGCATGATCAAGTCATAAGTAAAACTTATGCGAATAATCGCGCGAAGTACAAAATATTTGAAATCTTTGCGAAATATTATTACTATTTTTACTTTCATATTACAACTTATCCACAAACCGTTTGCTTTTGGGGATTCGCTTTTTTTTTATATATATATCTTAAGCTATATAATTTTTATTATTGGTTGTTGAATAGTTATGCGTAGCACATTGTACATGCCATTTTGTCGTCGGTCGAAAAA